CACAGTTTAGTAATCCGTTCGCTCAGTTTAGTAATCCGTTCGCTCAGTTTACTAATCCGTTAGCTCAGTTTAGTAATCCGTGCTCACGGATTTCCAGCGGCTGTTTTTTTTTTCTCCCACTGACCCCCCGCGGGTTCCGTACAAATGTGTGTATTAATGCACAGAAAAAATAGATCAGGGGTGTCAAACTCATTTTCAGCAAGGGCCACATGAGCATCAGGTTTCTCTTAAAGGACCAGTTGTAATTAACTTTGATGCTTCATGTTTAACTTTGACTAAACAGAAAATGTCAGGTTCCTCGTCTCATTGCTACAACTGATCACCACTAACAAATAATAACTGAGCTCTTTTGTGCATAGAATAGGCATTTTAACATGTCCTCTTACAAACACTGGAAAGTACTATGTGTACGACTGACTAAATGTGGAAAAAAAGAAAAAGAAGTACAATTAAAAATAAAAGTAAGAGAGTTTTACTCACTGTTGAATTGTGGTGAGTGTAGCTTTGTGACAGATAATTTTCACAGGACGGACGTTTCAGTTTAAAATATGACTTGTATGTAGGAAATATCTACTTTCCAGTATAACTGGGCTGCAGCAAAAGTCGCCAGCAAAAATGTAGCAAAATGGATATTTTTACAGCAAATTTTGCCGGCTGTGGGCGACCTTTGAACTCTGGCACATCCACTTAGTGGGATAAAATAATCAACATGCATTATGGGAGATGTAGTATATTGTTAATGCTGGCTTTAAAGCAACATATATTTATTTGAAGACATTAATACACATTTGAAGATCTCACTGGCCACATAAAGTGCTGTGTTGGGCCACATTTGGCCCATGGGCCTTGAATTTGATATCTGTGATGGTTAATGTATTGTCAGTTTTTACCAAAATTCCTGCAAGAACCTTGAATTTAGACGTTTAAGTTACTTATCTACCACATTTATTGGATTATGGTCAGACAAATGGACGTTTGTAATCTTAGATTTGTCATTCTTTGTGTCAGTGTAAATTCTTGTAAGAAGAAGCATCAAAATCTCCAAATGACAAACGTGACATGGTAAATCCCACTGTGTTGCGTGTGGGCGTTGGGCTGTTAGCGAGGCCTGTCGGCCAGCTGGCCGGCGTTCCAGCAGCGCGTTTTGGTCTGCACCGCCGTCTGACTGGCTGGCTGCAAGCGTATTAATCTGCTGTTCTGTGGGAGGTGAGAGCAGCAGAGGCTTAAACACTCAGCGCACACTGTTGACAGAGCAGATCTCGGCACAGTCGTCGGGACAGATGCTCAGATAATGTGCTTTGGAAACAGGACGGCGCCAACAGCTCCGCCGCACGGCGCACACCGCTCAACCCCAGCGGCTGTGAAGCTGCTAGACGCACAGAGCACAGAGGAGAGTCCTCGTGATGAGAGGCTTCAAAAAGATTCTATTTTCGAAACGCTGGGTTTTGATGATTTAGGCTTTGGGCTGCAGGGTTTCTCGTTTCTGGGAAGTTTAGAGTTTTATTCATCATTAGAAGGTCGACTATACAGAAATGGTTTTGCATATTTGCAGACATTTATCTTTTATGTTGAACAAAAAATGAGCTGCTTTGCCCAATTGAAAAGGGGGAAAAATCAACTCCACAAAAAAAGAAAGAACTTTTGCAAAAGTGAATTATTAAGTTAAGTTATGTATGAGAGAATGGAAGCTGCCACTTCCACCTCTCTACCAGGTGGAAAGATAAAATTATTGTTGAACAAAGTTAAACGGAGTGAAGCTGACCCCCAACCCATATGAAAAATGCTGAGAGGTTAGTGCTTCTTTTGTACTGCTCTGGTTTCTGACATGTTAAAGAATAATTTTTAGGTCATTCAGAGGTCATCATCCCCCCCGATTCGCCCAAAATAAACCAGACTGGTCCACTTTTTTACTGCTGCTGTTAGTTTTTTGTATGTGCTGCTGTAGTTTCTAAAATATTACATGTTAACGACCGGAGCTCATCCCAGCTGACACTGTGTGTGAACTTCATTTATCAATAAATTTAAGAAGAACATTTCACTATTTTGAAGCACTTAAATCTAAAAATTATTATGAACAAATATATATTATAATATATTACAACATATTATACAATATATATTTTATTAAAGGGGCAATATCATGTAAAATCAACTTTTTTGAGTTTTATATCATGTTATAATGTTATACTCTCATAAAAAAC